TGATCATCATCACATGAGGCCATCCTCATCATTTTATGTGATCAACATCACCATTTGAGTGCCACAATGCTCCTCACTTGGATTGCACCAACCTAGCTCATATCATGACAAATGTTAGTGTATAGGTTTCATCAATTATCCAAAACCAAACTAGGGCTTTCAGTCGTCCACGTGGCACCACTTCAAACCTCACGCGTCATATCCTAGCGGTCAAAATGTTTAGCTTGTGAAGTTAAAGAACAACCGGACTCGACGCTTGAAACGACCTGACGCGGCACCACATAGGGTCCGGTCAAGTCTAGTAAGCATCCATAGCAGGAAATCAACGACCTGACGCATCCGCTCGGTGGTGCATCCGGTCAGTACTCCGCCCTTCTGCGCGCACCAGGGAGGCTGATACCAGCGTACATCACGCTCAACCAAACGCATGCCCTGCGCATCCGGTCGCGTGACCTCTCCAGCATTCGATCGTCAAGTTGATCGCCTCCTCCTCTTGAAACACTAACCGGACGCGATGCTAGAGTCAGATCTAGCGTCCAGTCACTACTTCTTGCCCTCAGCCAACGCAGTCAGCCTGGCTAAAAATGACCGGACGCGCTCGGGGTGAGTCCGGTCACCCCAGCGCCAGAGTCCGGTCGCGTGACTTCTCCTCCTTTTCTTTTTCTAAGTCCACAACCACTTCACCCTTGCTTTCAACTTCCTAACCACAAAGTGTAGAACTTATGTGCACGTGTGTTAGAATTTTTCAAAGTATTTTACAAGGGTCAAAGTTAGCACACTAGTTTCCTAAATGCATATGCAAGAATCATATCACCTAGTGGCACTCGATAACCGCTTAGCCAAATATTTCCCCTCTTTATAGTACGGCTATCGATCCTAAACGCACTTACACCCTCTATGGTGTCTTAAGTGCTAAAACAAAAACCTATCTTATATCTTTGCCTTGATCTCCTTAGTTTTTGTTTTTCTCTTTCTTCTTTTCTAAATGTGAAGCACTTGATCATCTTTTTGGTCATCACCATCCACCATGATCATCCTCTTGCTCCACCACTTGGCATGGGACCATCCTTTTATGTCTACACACTTAGTACAAGGATTAGTCCCTAGGTTTCATCAATTATCCAAAAACGAAACGAGGGCTTTCAATTTCCTCTTTTTTGTTAATTGATGACAACCTATTTACAAAGATATTCAATGAAATCTTTTTGGATTCATGTTGCTTGCCCAAGCATATTACCATGTGTAATGGTTATGGACAAGTTACATCAACCCAAATTGGTAGTATTAGCTCCCCCAACATATGTGTTTAGAGTTTGGATTTGAAGGCTTGCACATATGCATGGATTGGAAGTTTGGGAGTAATAGCTACCAAATGATGCTAAGGTGTAAAGAATGGACCTTTGAAGCGTGATACCAATTGGAGTTACCATTTGAACATCATCCTTAGCACCATGGTTTGCTAGATACCACTTAAAAAGCAAAGACAAACTAGATACCTCGTGAGATCAACATTAGAAGCAAGGTTCTAGTACCACTTGTAAACGATCAAGAAATATCTAGCCATCCTATGCATGCTAGTTTTTCATTTCATCAATCATTTTCTACAATCTAGCATACACCACACAAGGATGGATAGGGAATTTAGAACTTGTGCCATGCAAGCAAACATATGTAATGCACATTCAAATGCAACATACAAGTTTATGAGCTTGCTCCCCCTATTTGCGTGCTTCAAATTTTAATTGATCCCCTTGCAATGTCATTTCATTTGTTTGCTCCCCCTATCTTACTATCTTTATGAATTTCTCTCCCCCTTTGTCAACAATTAGCATAAAATGTGAGCTCAAATTTTAGATGGGTTGGGGTAAAACCATGTTAAGTGAGGATCATTTTTCTAATTTGATTCAATCTAGATCACTTGTAAAAGATATTTAACTCGGTTTTATCCAAGGACAAGCTTCTTCACACCTCCAAATAAGGGTTATCTTGTACCATGTTGAGTTAAACATTTATAGCTTATTTTCTAGATTAAACACTAGGTTCACAAGCCCACAAATATGTCATATACTACCACTAGATCATATCAAGCATAGAAACAATAGTGGTACCATACAAGCATCAAATTCATTTGATTTTCATGAATAAGGCTAAGGCATGTGAGGAATGACTAGATACACTAAACAAGTCCTTAGCAATGGATGAAGGACATGTCAATCATCTTTACCTTGCTTTGCTCGAAGGACAGACATGTCATATAATGGGGTGCATCAACACATATTTGAGAAGTCAAGTATGTTCAATTTATTGCTCCTCTTTTCATTAAGTGGCTTGGTGAATATATCAGCAAGTTGATCATCAGTGCCCACACTCTCAGTGCAAATGTCCCCTTTTTGTTGATGATCTCTTATGAAATGATAGCGGACATCTATGTGCTTTGTTCTTGAATGTTGAACCGGGTTGTTGGTGAGCTTCACGGCACTCTCATTGTCACATAGCAATGGCACTTGTTTGAACTTGATTCCAAAATCACTTAAAGTAGCCTTCATCCAAAGTAGTTGAGCACAATAACTACCGGCTGAAATGTACTCTGCTTCGGCGGTTGAAAGTGCTACACTATTTTACTTCTTTGATGACCAAGACACAAGTGATCTTCCCAATAGTTGACATGTGCCTGATGTGCTCTTTCTCTCAACTTTGGATCCCGCATACTCGGAGTCCGAATATCCAATCAACTCAAATCTTGCTCCTTTGGGATATCACAATCTAACATTTTATGTATGCTTTAAGTACCTTAATACTCTCTTTGTTGCCTTTAAATGACTCTCTCTAGGTGAGGCTTGAAATCTACCACACATGCATAGACTAAACATCACATCCGGCTATGATGCGGTCACATAGAGTAGGCTTCCAATCATTGACCGATACATCTTTTGATCCACCATGTTGCCACTAGCATTATTATCCAAGTTTCCATTTGTCCCCATTGGTGCACTAATAACTTTAGCATCATCCATTCCAAACTATGGCAGCCGCTCGTGCGCGACAACGCTAGGCCAGCGAGCCGTTTCTAAGGCGTAGCGCTCGGTCGTTGGGCCTGCCGAGCTTCCATTCTCCCGAGCTGCAAGTAGATGTTGCGCTGCGCTGAAAGCGCATGTTGCAAACGTGTCTTTCGATTGTTTCAGATATTTCAGATGTATGTTGCAAGTGCTTCATACGGACGTTGCAAAAGTAGATTGGGATGTTGCATATGTTGCAATAGTATGTTCTAAATATTTCATCTGTTTTTAGTCTTACGTTGCAGCAAGTGTTTTCATGTTGCAAGTTGCAAGTGTTTCATATGGATGTTGCATATGTTGCCATGGCTATACACGTATGTTGCAAGTGTATTGATCCAAATATTTCAGATGCTTCAGAGGTATGTTGCACGGGTTTTATCTGGGTGTTGCATATGTTTCACGCATATGTTCGGAAGTGTTTCCTCCGAATGTTGCATATGTTTCACACATATGTTGCAAGTGTTTCATCTGCAGATTGCATATGTTCTACAATGGCTACACACATGTTTCCCTGGTGTTTCAGACGTATGTTGCAAGTGTTTCATCTAGATGTTGCAAAAGTAGATCTGATGTTACACATGTTGCAGTGTGACACCCATCTGTAGCCGTCACCTGTTTACAGCTGCTGGGCCTGCCTTCATGTGCATAGATGTGGAGAGGGCACCACGGTGCAAGCGCGGGACACGAAGCGTGCGTGGGCCATGGTGCGGGCCACGAGACACGGTGCGGGCACAGGACACGGAGCGACACGGACCCCACGTAAAGCAGGCGCAACAGGTGCGAACGTCCGAACGCTAGCCCTATCTAGATGTCCGGGCGCTAGACATGCCTTAAAAATTTCGCCCGCACTACATCATACTGGCCCCATTCGGCTTGCTGAAACTTGGCTGAAACTAGCTGAAAACACTGTTCTGGCTGAATTGTTGTGAGAGATAAACACTGTTCCGGCTGAAAAAAGAAGTCGAACAAACCGATTTTAAGATAAGCCAAACGCGACCTGTCTGGATAGTGTGTGGGCTGCCCCCGCATCGATCAGCTAGCTACACTCCACAGACCACAGGTAGTAACGGGACAGGGGGAATCAATTGCTAATAATTTCCTCGTGTCAGCTGCACGCCATCGGCCTGTTCGTTTGGCTGTGGCTTATCGTAAACGATCGTAAATTTTCAGCCGAAACAGTATTTTTCTCTCACACAAACCAACCAGCAGTACTTCTTCACGAACCAGCAACGAAACGAACCAGCCAACAGAACAGGCTGGCGTGCTGAATGCGGATCCGTCTTGCCTTCTCTATTATTTATTTCCCTATAAAATAATTGTATTTGTATCTCACCCAAATAGGCAACCATTGATATGCTAGTCTTTCCTTGTTTGTTTGGGTACTCCGTACTCAGAACGATGAGCTGCCAAACCCTATCTTCCTTGTCTTGTGTAATGTAACGCGTGCGCTACATCAGATCGCGATTTATTGTGACACGATCACTTGCTATACAATTTGACATGGTGCAACATAGCAGAACGCGTGCGGCGCCGGTCAAAGACGACCTGCGCGAAATACTGCCGATCTCAGGGTAATCAAAATTGCTGCCGTGCCCAAGATAGAAACAGCTCAATCTTTAAACGGATGGATCGATCCGTCGTGCCAACGACTATTGTGTGCACGCGATTTTCCAGCCCTGAATCCAGCAGGGCGGGACGTTAAAACCGCGCCGATCCGATCTACTAACTGCGAGCGTAAGTGTCCAACCCAGCCATCCAATCCACGGGCCTGGCCACTCGCCACCGCTCCTCTTCAAGGCGTCCCAAGACGCGGCCACGAGTCCCTCCCACTCCCGGCTCCCATATCGCCTCGCCCCTATAACTCTGGACGTCTCAAGCCCACCACACCGACCACAAAGACGAGGGCGAATTCGCCTCACCAGTCACCACGCGCGCGAGGCGTGCATGGCCGCGACGGCGTGCGCCTACAGCTACCAGGCGGGCGGGCCGGCGCAGGTTCGGCTGCCGGACACGTTCATCGACGACGTCGATGGCGCCGTCCAGAAGGCAGAACAGACGCCGGCGCCGGCGCCTCCGCCGCCCCCACTGCCACAACCGTCCAAGGTGCCCCCGTCGTCCTTCCTGTCGCACCACCTCGACATCTGCACCGAGGGCCTCGGCTCCGAGAGCTCCGGCGACATCGATCTCAGCGACCTCACCGACGACGTCAACGGCAACGACAACGACCACGACGCCGCCTGCGTTGACGTCGGGCAGGCACTGCCGTGCAAGTGGCAGCATCGTGACGGAGGAGGTGATGGGGAGCCGGGGAGGGCGAGGAGCGCCAGGCCAGCGTTCCCGCCGCCGATCTCGCTGATCGGGGCCGGCGGGAAGCCGTGGCTCTACCTCCGGCCACAGCGGGAAGACGGCCGTCTCGTGCTGCGGGAGGTGAGGATACCGTCACGGGAGCTCCTCCAGGCGCGCCGGGAGGACGGCCGGTTCAAGCTCCAGTTCGCCCAGCCCCAACCGGACGACGAGAAGGACGAATGCCAGTTGGCCCAGGGCCAAGATCCAGCAGATGCAATGGCGCCAGATAAAACGCAACAGGGGAACGAGAAGGACTAGTTCAATCAGGGTTTTAGATTTTGGCTCCGAGATAGTAGATTTAATCATCGCTCGTCAACAAATTCCACACGAAGAGTTGTTTTTCCCCCTTGCAGAGAGAGATGTAAATATAGCGGAATTTATGTTCACTGCTTCTTCAATGTCTAATCATCCAGTCTATTGCTAGGGTTTTGCAATAAGCTAGTGAGGCAGTTCAGTGGCAGGAATCAACAAAGGGAAGGAAAAGAACACACTTGTCCAGAAACCTTAACCAAGTACAGAAACCAATACTAAGCTACTATTTGCGTGGCACTTGTTTGTACCCTACCAGAAACCAGGCATTACATTTTCTGCTCCAGAGCACTTAAGGGTCTCACAGACGATGAGACGACAGAGTTCACAAGAATCCTGAGGTTTGTTGATGGAAAAGGTATATGTCACATGTCAAAGTTAATTGATGGTTGACAGTTAAAGTCATCACGAATGGCATTTGGAATCAAATATGCTGATTCTGCACCTTCTACCAAGTATGACCCTTCTACTTTGATAGACTAACTAATGCTACCATAAATCAAATTGGATGGTGAGCTCTCCCGGTGTGGAAGCCACCGGTCCTGAGTTCGAGCCCTGGTCGGCTCAGTGATTTCCCACCGTGGGATTTATTCCCAATAAATGATCTTGCAGGTCCTGGACACTCGCGTGGCGCTACAATGGGACTACGCCGTGCCCGTCGTCTACGAGGCTCGTGTGGCTTCGGTGATTTCTAGAAGGACATTTGAGGTGTATAGGTTGTAGCTTCTAGAAGTATGCGTGTGTGCGGTGGTGTGTGTTGTGTAGAGTACAGATACTACAACTTGTACACTAGGAGTCCAGGCTAAAATCAAATTATAACAAGGAATCATTGATGCAATTATGAATTGGAGCTCTGAATTTTCTCTGCCATAGAATCACATTCACATGCATGAAAAAGATGTATTCTGCTGAATGACATGGTGAAATATCACAAAGCACCCAGATGGCTTCTACAAATGCAGGCAAAGCATCGTTGGACAGGGAAAGGAAGGAGAAAATCTACCATTGATGTGGTGGCAGCACTCGTGGAGCCTGCCGGTGCCTTCCCATTATTGTGGAGCCCCGAGCCCCTATCCTTTTCAAGGATAGATAACCACACACACGAGATTGGAGCTTATGATGATTATTTCTCGCCATCCAACGTCAATAGCACTTTGTATAATTCAGGGCGCCGGTCCCTGAATATCCCCCAACCATGCCTAGTCAACTTGATCTCATCCAAGTCAAACTCTGCCACCAGCACTTCCTCATCTTTGTCGTTAGCAAGCTTCACTATTTCTCCAGTTGGTCCTGCGGAGACACATATTTTCAATTGAAGTCATGTTTTTGACTTTTAACCCTTCTATCTACACAGCATAAAGATATGCACAAGCTAGATTACCTGCAATGAAGGAATTCCCGTAGAAGGTTATCGTGCTCTTGCCATGCTCAGTCTCAACAGTTTCTCTGCCAATCCGGTTGGAAGCAACAAGAGGGACCTGGATAATTCAAGCTGTAATCATAACGTGACCAGAGATGTGGCTGTTTCACCAGTATCCCTTAGAGGAACAACAAAGGAACAAACATCTTTGTGGTTCCTCAATGAAAGTCATAGTGCATCATGAACTTATACAAAACAACAAACAGTACCAAGTTGGCACCAGCATGGCCTTGCATAACTCGCTTCCAATGTTCACGGGAATCCAGGTTACCATCCTGGGGTTCAGATCCAATTGCAGTGGGATAAAACAGTATTTCAGCCCCCTGAAGAGCCATTGCTCTTGCACACTCTGGAAACCACTGATCCCAGCAGATTCCTACAAGGTCAAGAATGATGGCATTAGTTATAATTGATATTATGTCATTAATTAATATTAGTACTACTGTACTTATAAACTAAATAAGAGCCTGTATCACTGTAGAACATAAATAACTTACCAACACCAAGCGTGGCATACTTGGTTTTGAAAGCCTGCATCAATAGCAGTAAATGCATTTAAGTGAACTTTGGCTGATATCAAGGACAGTAAAAGTCACATTATAATCATATGTTGGTCCCTCGGCTGCCATGCACAAGTAAGCAGTAAGCTTACTAGCATACTCACTCACTATGGCTAGAGGTAGAAGAAGATATTGAAAACAGCTCACACACACAGCACATGCCCAGCGCTGGCCGAAAGCTCTGCTTCTGGATGTGGCAAACTGAACTGCTCTTTTGCATTGCCTTAGATGTGATATATATACAAGTGCTAGTACCTCTACCTGGTACATAGTTGTTGGTGAGTACACCAACTATCTACTCCTAATGTACACCAACTACTCCTAGTACTAGCAGTACAAAGCTTAGATCAGTCCACTACCAAGATATGGCTGATGTAATAGATACCAACTAATGTACTAGAGGTGGCCTATTGCCATACTGCTACAGCAGTAGAGACTGGACAGCCGAGCTGACCAAATACCAACTCTGCTGCAGCAAGAGAGAGAGAGAGAGATCAGCAGCAGATTATGTCTTACAATTCTTCCCCTAATCCTGCAGCTAACCCAATGCCTTGACCTCATCCATGCCAATCATCTTCCTCAGCTCCATGAACCGCAGGCGCCCGAGTGACTTGGTGAAGATGTCAACGACCTGTCTGCTGGTCTCGACGAACTTGATGACGATCTGCCCTCTATCGATGCAATCCCGGAGGAAGTGGAACTTGATGTCAATGTGCTTGCTCTGGTCGTGGAGGACAGGGTTCTTGGCGAGGGCGATGGCGGGCTGGTTGTCCACCATCAGAGCTGGCGAGTGAGCTTCCTCGCCGGTCAGCTCGCCCAGCAGCCGGCGCAGCCAGACAACCTGGCACGCCGCCGTGGCTACTGCGACGTAGTCCGCCTCGCAAGTCAACAGCGCCACGATCTTTTACTTCAGCGACTGCCAAGCAATGGGGGCCGCTCCAAGGAAGACGAGCACGTCGGAGGTGCTCCGTCGCCCGTCGATGTCGCCCACCATGTCTGCGTCGCTGAAAACAGTGAGCTCCGGCTCACCTTCCTTTGCCTTGGGGGTGCCTCACTAAAGACCGTGAGCCGCAGCCCACCCTTGCCGCCACTCTTGGGGAAGACGATCGCTTGATCGAGTGTCCCCTTGACGTAGCGCAGCAACCTCTTCACCGCCGTCCAGTGATCCTCGCGTGGGTCCTCCATGAAGCAACTGACATACCCGACCGCGAATGTGATGTCCGGCCGAGAATGCGTGAGGTAGCGCAGCCCGCCGACGATGCTCCGGTAGCGCGTTGCGTCCACCTTCACCGCCATGGTGTGCTTGGACAGCTTCAGCCGCTCCTCCATTAGAGTTACGCACGGTTTGCACTCCACCATGCCGCTGCGCTCCAGCAGCTTCTCCGCATAGGCGCGTTGGCCCAGGGAGATGTGCTCCTTCCCCTGCCTCACCTCAATGCCGAGGTAGTAGGAGAGCGCGCCGAGATCGCTCATTTTGAAACGAGCAGCCATCTCGCGCTTGAAGCCGTAGATGTCCTCCCGCGCTTCATTGACGATCAAGTCGTCCACATACACGCCAACGACGAGCTCCTTCTTCCCCCGTCGTCGCATGTACAGCGCGTGCTCTGTGGCGCAGCGAGTGAACCCAAGCTCGCCCAAGGTGGTGTCGAGCTTGGCGTTCCACGCCCGAGGGGCTTGCCCAGCCCGTAGAGCGCCTTGTGCTGCTTGAGCACCTTGTGCTCAGCGCCCTTGACGGCAAAGCCCGGAGCTTGCTTGACGAAGACCGTCTCCGTGAGCTCGCCGTTGAGGAACGCAGACTTGACGTCGAGGTTGTAGACGCGCCAATCCTTCGCTGCTGCCATGGCCAACAGCAAGCGAACGGGCTCCATTCGCGCCACCGGAGCCAAGACTTCCTCGAAGTCGATGCCCTCACGTTGCACGAAGCCGCGGGCGATGAGCCGAGCCTTGTACTTGACAATGGCGCTGCGCTCGTCCCGCTTCACCTTGTAGACCCACTTCAACCCGATCGGCCTGCAGCCCACCGATGGATCCACCAGCTCCCATGTCCCATTGTCCTCGATGGCCTTCATCTCTTCCAACATCGTCCGGCGCCAATTGTCGTCATGCTTAACCACTGCAAACGTCGGTGGCTCCTCTGCACTAACAAGGAGCAGCTCTAGGTCGTCGAGAAAACGACTGGCCAACCCAGGAGCTCCCCTTTCGCCAACGATGTTGTCCACCCGCCTGAACCGGACCTCCACGCCGTCGTGGAAAGCGTCCACGTACTCGTCGATGTCGGTGGGTTGAGAGGTGAACTCGATCGGTGGTCCATGGCCTCCCTGTTCTGCCGGAGTGGCCGGCATCGCTGCTGGACCGCTCGGCACCACTGCCGGAGTGGTCGGCATCGCTGCTAGACCGCTCGGCACCACTGCCGGAGTGGTCGGATCCAATGCTGGAGCGCTCGGCACTGCTGCTGAAGTGCTCGGCACCCCCTCTGGAGTGGTCGGCATTGCTGCTGGACTGCTCGGCACCACTCCTGGGGTGGTCAGCACCTCTTCTCCAGCGTCTCCACCACCGTGGATGACTAAGTGTTCGACGACGAAGGTGCTGCTCAAGCTGCCAGCTTCCCCGGTGCCCGGACCCTCCCAGTCCCAGGCCGTCATCTCATCGAACACCACATCCCTAGAGATCACCACCTTGCCTCTCTTGGGATCATAGAGCCGATACGCTTTGGTGCCCACCTCGTAGCCTCGGAGCACCATCGGCGTGCTCCTGTCTTCCAGCTTGCCGAGGTGAGGCTTGGTGTTCTTCACATGGCCGACGCAGCCAAATGTCCTGAGGAAGGACACATTCGGCTTGCATCCATGCCAACCCTCAAACGGCGTCTTGCCCTTCAGGGCCTTGGTCAGCGCGCGGTTGAGGATGAACACCTTCATGGTCACCGCCTCTCCCTAAAACTTTGCTGGCATGCTTTTGGCCTTCATCATGAA